GGTATTCGCTGTAGGACGTGCTATGGCGCAGCAGTTCGGATGTGGGACTGGAAGAGCGCCTGGGCCTCCTCTTCCAGTATTATAGTTTCTTTAGGGCTCGTGTTCTGACTAATAATAAGTAGCTTCACAGGGGTACTTTATCAGCTGAGGTACTACTCCGCTCGGTTGCAGACTTCACAGTGGATGGCGGGGCCGGGGAGCATTCCACACCGGCTGCGGATGTGGGAGGGACCCGCAAAGGGGAGAGCCTCTTGAAGGTGGCAAGCAACCTTTTGGCAAACTACTCCAAGTACGCCGTGGCTTTGCACGCCCGATTGGAGCGCAAACGCATGGGCCATGGCAATGCCAGTTTGACAGAGCTGATTGCTCTTGGACGACGTCTACAGACAGTTGACTTCGTGACATTCACTTGCATTCTGGCCGACCTGCTCGAGCGTCAACGTGTGTTCACACTCGCAGTTCAGAAGGAGACCTTCGCCTGCTGTTTCGTAACCTTTCTATAGGCTCTAATCTAATAAGAACTGAATAAGTGGGACAGTAGGTGTGTGCCTATATATCTAGTCATGCTGATCCAGGTCGGGCGTTCCATGGGAAGCAGATTTGGCCTTTCAGCGTAAGCAGGCGGAGTGCAGAGAAGATATGAAGCATCTCCAGCACCTCAGACGCTTCACGGCCGTTTTTGGTTTACTTCAGCATTATTGTGATCACAGCGACTTGCAGGCGCTCCGAGTAGCTTATCTTTATACCCCGGCCGGTCGCAGATTCAAAGTCTTCTGCAAGAACATGTTCGACATTTTGGTGCTGAAGACTTTCCATGGTGCCCAGCTACAGGTTTTCCAGGACCTTCATGCTGAAACAATGTGCGTGACGCCAAGGTGTGTTTGCAGATTCAGGAAATCTAGGGAAAAGTTTCGACGAGTGGAAATTTCATGGCGCTGGAGACGGCCAGGCCGGTTCACCTTTTCAGCAAACTTTCAGGGGCGCGTGTGTGAGCAATCTCATTTAATATCTGCCACCCTGCATGAGGTGGGCGCAACTCCATCAGGATTGAAGTTCCTGAGTATGTGGCGTATTCCCAGATGACACCAGACCAGGCCCGGGAGGAGGCGCCATTGGATCCCGTCGACGTTCCTCTGAGGTACGAAATCTTTCGCACACCTCCACTCAATCCTCGTTTGCAAGGCTTGGAGCTTTTCCGTGAAGACAAGTATCAGTGTGCTACATCTCGTCATGTTCCTGCTGTGCACCAGCTGACTCAAGTCGGTTTGCGAGCCGGCTTTTCCTTCTTGACGTGCCTTGTGGAAGCGTACGACGCTTATTGGGGGGATACTGGTGTCCCGCAGCACTTGCAAAACCTGTTTCAGGATATGGGGGCTGCGTGGGACTTCAGGGCCATGATGCGGCATCCACGCCCAAGTCAGGAGGCCATCAACGCCTTGACACGCCTGTACAAGGCCTTTCAGTGGAGACTTCAACACGTACGCTTCCCCAGGCACTTTCCACATGTTGAGCATACATGGCCTACCTTCAAAAGCATGACTCGGCAGTTCCGCGTGCTTTGGTATTCAGTGTGGCTGGGTCGCTTGCGACCTGAGTGGTCGGAACCTACAGCGTTCCATGTGTCGCTTGTAGCTCCTCCGGCAATGCTTCTGACAATGTTGGGCCGCAAGCTTCAAGCGGCAGGCAGTTCAGGGCGCCGTGTGGACGCAGTACAAGTGAGTTGCCATGTGTCACGAATCCTGAGTTTTCTCAAACAAGAGGCCTGTTTCCAGGTCTCTCCAAAGCCGCTAGGCCAGCAGTATGTCATTGTCTGACGTATATAATATGTGTTTATTATTTTAGTATTCTCAAGAAGAAATTTTAAGTGCCATTGGTCTGCAATCAGGTCACTGGTGGCCATCCGCCTGGCTGCGGGAGATCCAGTGCTGCTGCCTGGTACTTTTGCAAAAATGATCCGGCCGCCGTTTCAGGGCCGACTCGTCTTCATAGAAAGAATGGATAGCCAGGCTGGGGGAATAACTTAATCATCAATCAAGATTATTTCTAAAGGCCCACTTATCTTAGGTAGGATTTTCTCAGATATGTTTGATGCCGTGAGGCCATTCCATGCAATGTGATCTCTACATTCATCTTGGAAAAATCGATGCACGTGTACAAGTCGCAAAACTCTGATCGAGAAACACACTGCTGGCATTGCGCCTATCTTCTTGCAGTCTGCTCCGCCTCGCAGCCATCATCGTCGGTGGCGGAAAGGATAGGCAGCCAATTACATTCCATTGAATGTGGCGAATCCCGAATATCTGCAAGCAGGGTAGCTTCACGTTTACGAATCAGAGTTGCTGGCATCGAGGCCTGCAGCGCTGTGTCACGCAATCATGTTGCCACCCAGACAGTTGCAGCATCATACCCCTAATTCAGCCTTGAAACTCAGCTGTGCTGCTTGGAAATAGCAGGCCATCGGCGCAGAAAAAGACGAGGCATTGGTCAATCAGTTGACAGAGCTGCTGGCTGAAGTGAAGGACCCTTTGGTTCGGAAGGACGCAAGGCGCAAGCGCCGATTGTCAGGCAAGGATGCGACTGGCAACCCCAGTCTTGATTTGCGCATCCAGCAATCAGAGGCCAGAGGTAGCATGTGTTCTGCGGACTTTGTTGATAACAACGAACCGATTTCCGAGAACATGCGTACTGTGCTTGGCTCTCTGGATGCTCATCTTTTGGCCCACCGAGAAATCCATGCACCGGTCACTCTGGATGCGGCTACCCGTGCTGCCTTGACCCGAGTGGTGGGCATGAGATCTGGGCGTCTTCACATCGAATCCCTCCCAAGCCACGCAGCCGCCCGACTTTGCAATGCCATTTTTTAAGTTGCGTGTTGCATGGTCTGTTCATGTTAGGTGCAGCAAGTGCTTACCAGGTCAAGGGCCGATCCGCAGCAAAGCCGGCTATAAGATCCATAGCCAGGGAGCGGATGTCCAATTGGCTTTCATCTGCAGAGGGCATGACCTGGAAATCGCAACGGGATGCACTGCTGCTGGGCAGAAATTCCAAGTAAGGTTGTGCATCACACCGTTGTCAACCGCAACTTCTAAAATTGTTCGAAAGCTCAGGATTCAGTCCGTGTTGACCGTGCCGGACGATCCCATCGCAGAGGTTTTAGCAGCTGAGGACTGAGATGCTGTGGCCCATGTCTGGTTTCACACAAAGAGCAATTTCGCAAAGCAGGCGAATAGTCAACATGTTGCTTATGTCCGCTCCGTGTTGCAGCGCTATACATGCTTGCCCCGTCAGATATAAAAGTCGGGTGAGCACCAGCTGGCCAGGTCTTTCGTTGCACTGAAGAATCCATAGGTGCCCTGGTCTTAGTCCTTGCCTGGTGTGTCAAATTCGTTTGACTCAGCAATCCCAATACCGTCCAGGCCATCCTTGTCCAGGACGCCTTGACTGCGTCTGCCCCTTATGAGGGATTGCTTCAGCTTCTTAATGAGAGAGGTTGTGTTGCCTTACGCAGCCAAACGTGATTGACTTGAGGCTGCACTTGCATGGCCACTCCTGCCAACAAAGCAAGCAGTCATAGAGGTAGCTTAGCAGACTGTGCTGCAGCATGGCGACCAGCTTCGGTCAGCCACCGAAGACTGAGGGAAGTGCAAAGTTCAAGCTTGATGAGATTTCCATCGATGTTACGTCGGGATGGCGGCCACTTGATGTGAGAAGGGTGGAAGAGATGTCTGCTGATATGCGGTCCAATGGCCTTGGCACATCCTACGGTGGCGTCGCGCCCAAGTTGGTCATGGCTGCCGACAAGTCCGCCCTGCTCTTGGATGTCAATGTATCATGGCTAAAATATAACGGAAATCTGTGACTTCAGTCAGTCAGACTGTTATTCTGAGAAGCTCTCATAAATGGATGCAGGGGCTGATCCTCATCGCCGACGGCTTGCACTATGTGGCAGCTCTGAAGAGTCTGTTGAAGCAGTGGCAGTCGAAGCTGGGTCATTGTTGAAGATCAGATTAGATTCATATGGAATCCCATCACCAGTCAAAATGACCATGTTTAATGAATATTTTCCAATCATGGTTCAGGAAGCCTGATGGTGATGAGGAGCCATTGCCATGGGACCCGCAGCTTCTCGATATTTTCACACAAGGTCTATCCTGTGACAAAGTCCGGTTTACGGATGATCATCCCGACACCCGGTTTCTACCCTGGATATGAGCATATTTTTGAAATTTCCATTGCCTATTATAATCCTAATACGCAGAGGAAATTGTAATTGCTTTATTGGGGGTACCGATCCTTGAGAGGTTTACGTGGTACTCCTCATCCCACGACGAGGAGACCACGAAGTTCCGCACAACCTCTATCCAGGAGAAGCTGCTGGGTCATTGTTGAAAGGCATCTTACTCTTTTCGCGGATCAATAAGGATTCAAAAGTATTATCTGAAATGCTTCAGGCTGGAGGTCATTGCCAGGGCGGTGCGCAGGACCCCTGACGCAGACGTGAATCAGGCGATCCAGCACCTCACGACCATCCTCGGGTCATCGGCGAAGCAACGGATTGCTAAATGGGGTCGGGCCTTCAAGAATCTCCCGTCTGAGGTGAAGGACAAGCTCGCTCAGAATCTTTGTTGAGCATAGAGTTCAGTCCATTCATGGTGTCAGGAAAAGCAAGCGTGTGTGTTTATTTGAATGGAAATGTGTGCTGGACAGCGAAGGTGGGGAAAAGTTCCGCAAACCTACATATGGGATAACCCTTATCTCATGGCGGAGGGGGCAAGAAGCCGGATGCGCTTACCGGCCGACTACGGCGTAGTTGCTCTGTCCATGGTGCAGAAGGACAGCGTGCCCCATTGTCACAGTGATTGTGGTTTTTATAATTGGCCAGAGAAGTAACTCCCTGATTCATTAGCCTGGGCTCGAGACGCAACAAGCTGCAAAGGCAGCTCTCAGGTTTCCTTGCTGAGCCATGGACAACACTGAGTCCATGCTGTCATTGTCATTGGATGACAATGGCAGCGAATCCTTTGAAGGCATAGGCGTAGTCATCGACAACGAGAGGGAGGATGCGGCAATGACAGGTGGAAATTGTCAACTGTAGTTAGCTGCAACCTTTGCTTGAACCTATCCTGTGGGTCATTGTTGCGGCTGTTTTGCAGATCGTGGGCTCGCGTTCGAAAGCGAGGCTGGGTGTGGGCTCATGTTCGGAAGCGAGGCTGGGTGTGCTGATTGTGGTTTCTTCTCATCTAGGATGTTGGCCTGGTTGCGTTCCCAAATTTCCAGGAAGACCTGGTCACGGAGATGGAGGCTGATCCTAGTGTGGCGTCAGGGGCTGCTCCCAGTGCGCCGTCAGAGGGAGTGGCTGCCAGTGGCTTGCTGACGTTTGTTTTGTTTGTTTTTGTGTTTGGTGGCTGTGTCTGTCTCGTCTACTGAGGTGCAGGGGAACCCATTCTTTGCTTACCCTTGACATTGGAGCAGATTCAAGCTCATCTCGTGGCAATCTGGCCTCTGCTGAATGACCCAGTAAGTGCCTGGACTGCAGACATGTTCAAGTGCAAAGCGCCTGCCCTGCAAGATTGCAGCTTCAAGCCCAGCTGTTGCAAGTACCCTGAATCACTGAAGGTCGCGCGGGCCGCTCTGCCCAGAGCCTAGGCGTTCCCTCCCTCCTGGAGTATATTGATGTCTTCGGTGGTGCAGCTTCCATATCAGGTGTTGAGAAGGGTTTCAACTTCGAGCGTCGCGTTGACAAGCAGTATAACATCCATGAAGCATCGGGCCTGCTCCTGCTGGCCAAGAAGATGGTGATTTTGAAGCCTCATGGGCTTATCACGTTTCAACCGACGTGCGCCAGCTGGCTCCCTTTTTTGTCTGCGAAGACATCCGGCAGATGCAAGGCCGACCTAAAAGGGCATCTGACTTGCAGTGATGATGTTTGCGGGTCCTAAGTTTCTTTTGTAAGGCCAATCCTGTCGGCAACTTCAGCCGAAGATTTGTGATGCTGGGAAACAGCACTGCGGACATCATTGCGATGGTCCTCATACCGCTCTGCCTATGGCTGGATCTCTATTGGTTTCTGGAAAATCCGGTGAATCTGCCACGATTGCTTCTTTGCATTGTCTGTGCAGGTCAGCAGATGGTTGTGCTTTGTTGTGCTCCGCAATTCAGGTGGGCTCATATATCTTCCAGTACCCACGCCTGCAGAAGTACATCGCACTTTCCCATTATTTTAGAGAAGTAATCTGGCTGCGGACTTTTGGGGCAGTGTACTCGAAGGCGGTGGAACTGCGTGGCAATTGGCCAGGACTGCCAATGCTCAGGCATTTGCGCAAGTTGCTGTGGGAGTTCACCAAACAACGACCCACCCGCGCTACCACCAAAAAATCCGTGAGCAAACGAGGGCGCAAGACTTTCAGCTGCAGCAAAAACAAGCACATTTCCTCGCGTTGCGTTGCAGGGTTTGTCCTTATGCTTTCATTGGCCCAGGCAAGTCTCGGGCAAGAGTGAGGATCTGGCAAAGTCTTCGGTCTATCCGCGACAGCTTGGCGTGGCCGTGCGTTGGTGCCATGAGTTGCAGGAACGCCATGCAACAGTGGACCCTCAATGCAAGGCTGCGCTACTGAGTTACTCTCGAATGATTCTCGCAGCGCTGCCCCCGAAAGGGACCGAAGATCTTCCGGACTGGCAGCGTTTGCTCACGTGGTGCTTTCATGATGTTAGATAGCATTTTTCTGGGCATAGAAAAGAACATGTAACACGCAGGACGGATATCGTTTGCTTCTTCATCCCTATGGGCCAGACCCAGGGCCGGCCCATCTGCAGCCCAAGAAGATGAAGTGAGCACTCTCATTGCCACGCAGTGCCCATCCACAGCGTGCGTGAGGGCCTTGTGCCCAGCCCGATTTTTGTTGCGGACTCTGAATCTTGTAGCCTTGCGACAGGCGATCGCCCTGACATGTTTACGCAATTTGAAACCTCTGTCACGGGCCACGGGGCAGCCTGAAGCGCGTGGTTT